AATGGTTCAAGCTTTAGTATAGGGTTTAGGGTTTACTGGAGAAGCCTAAATTACCAATGGTATAGTGTTCAGGGGTTAAGGCCTACATCGCCACCAATAGCTGAGAATCAAATGGAAAACACATGGAACACGAAATGCACACGGGGTCTCTAGGAAGCGTTTGGGGATAGTGTCATGTAGGGGCCTAAACAATTATCACTTTAGTTTTGAAGCCTATCTTGGGTTCCCTACGCCCTGAATGTACACGGAATACAGGACCATGACATCAGAAATTATTCAGGCTTCCTTGCCGTCGGAATACGTGCTACCTAGCTCCGGGTGGACCCAAAGTATGGCTGAAAGGATGAACTTCAAAGGCTAAAGGGGTCCAAGGGTTTAGGATTTAGGGGAGTAGATCTTGAGTAAGGTTTAGGGCTTGCGGGAGTAGATCTTGTTTGGGGTTTAGGGGGGTAGATCTTGAGTAAGGTTTAGGGCTTACGGGAATAGATCTTGTTTGGGGTTTAGGGGAGTAGATCTTGATTAAGGTTTAGGGTTTACGGAAGCAGATCTTGTTTGGGGTTTGGGGTAGTAGATCTTCCTTAGAGCTTAGGGTTTTAGAGTTGAGGGGAGCAGATCTTGTTTAGGGTTTAGGGTTGTCAGTTGAGGGGAGTACATGTCAGGTTAGATCCCCACTCAACGTGACCACACGGGATAATAATGGGAACTCTATGGAGGTCTCTGCATAGTCCTGTCGTGTCACGATTACTTGGTGGGGGCTCAATTCCATGCAGGTCGGCCTCAGGACTCGAATCAGTGGAACGGAGCTACAATTGTATAGAGGGTTATATGGCCGCATATTGGGGGTTGTATGGGATTAATTGGGATTATAATCATACGGAAGGCCTGAGTGGATCCGAAGCGTAGTATACTCGGAGGTGTACTTGAAGGTTGTTGAGCAAGAGTTTAGTCCGTGCACACCAAAGCGGCTATAACAAGTTAACAGTTCAGAGTCTAGTTGGCCTACTCAGAGACTCTAAACCCTAAACCCTGAA